CTCTGCAGAAAGAGATTACATGACATTTTCTTTCAATCACATTGTCCGACACTGATGACCACCCTTTTCCTCTCATGAGCTGGTGATAATAAAAAATTACCAAATTTGCAATAGACACAAAAAGAACGACATCCTTTCCTAGTTTGTATTTTAAGTAACAATAAAATCAAAATATAATAGGAGAAGGGAGATGAAGCAAGTCAGAGGAAAGGACATTTCTAAAATACGATGCTACAGTAGGACGGACAGCATCAAGAACTGTAGAAATCTGATTTCAAATTTCTGTTTTTGGAATGAAATCTTTTTTTATGAATAGGTAGTTTCCTTGTTAAATTATCAATAGACACAAGAAAAATATCAAGCTTATATCTATTGTAATGAAGCAAACAATCATCACTATTAGATGACAATTTATATTAATAAAGAATCTGGGATCTAGGGTGATAGCTAGTTATTAACGGAATAGGTAATGAGAATTCAATTTTCCCAATTCCATTTATCTAGGAATGCATGTTTTTATTATTATGTTTTAGCTTCTTTTCCTTTTTGAAAAACTGAATAAAGCAAGAAAAATTCTATGAAAGGCAAACCATTCTCACCTCATGCTCTCTCAAGTGGCTAAATTACAGTATAATATTGACTACCCAGGAAAGACTGTTGAGGATATCAAAGTGAGTTAAGATGTTCAGTCATTTCTTCAAAAGGAAGTCTGTAGGGAGGCAGTATGGTACACTGGTCTGGCCCACAGACTCTGGAGTCATATTCCTTCGGATGAATCTTTGTTTCACAATTTGGGGAAAGTTATTTAACCTCTCTGGGTATTTCAGGTTCCTTCTCTGTAGAAGATAAAAGTAACTACTTCTTGGGTTTTGTGAAAATTACATGAAATAAATTTTAAGCACTTAGGTAATTGCCTGGTATGTATAAAAAGCTCAATAAATGCTAGATTTATCAAATTTGGAAGCTATTATTAAAAGTGAATAGGACTTCTGGGTACGGCAGACAGCTCGTATAAGATCATTTCTACTACCAAGATCAAGCAAAAAAGGTGAATTATGGATGGAAAGCATCTGCTGAAGGCATCAGGTGGCTACCAACCGGCAAAGACTTGAAAAGCCACAGATCCAGAGAAAGGGACTCATGGAACTGAACCCAACATCACCTTCCCATCAAGGAATCGGACAATTCACAAGCCAGGTTTAAAGGCTGAGAAGCTGAGCAGAGAGTACTTCAGGTGGTCTCATGGAACTGAGGAATATACAGGGCCACTAAGGCCAAAGGTCCACGGTAAACACCCAGGCCTTACACGAGGATTCCTAATGGACTGTATTCCAAGGTGAGGTCTAAGTGGCACTAGTCAAGCTTTTATGAACACCGATGCTCAGCTGAGAATGAGCTTAGCCCTGCAGAGGATTAACCTGTTCCATCTAACTGCCAATCGAAAAACAGTTAAACCCTCTCTGGAGAAAGAAAACATCACATGCAACCTCACAGGATCTCTTTAGTATTTTGTAAACAACGCCCAGCATTTGATCGAAAATTACCAAGCATGGAGAGAGACATGACCCATGAATGAAAAACTTGAGGGAAAAAATCCAGATGACAGAAACAGATGCATAGGAAATCCAAATATTATAATTATCAGCCACAAACTTTCAAAGAACTGTTATTAACGTATTTTAAAGAAAACAGATGACAAAATGTTAATTTAATCACGTAATTAAATTTATGCAAAAGAAACAAATGAATACTTGAAACTAAAAAGTGCATTAAAGTGAAGAGTTGATAATTTGAGAAGAAATTTTTTAAAAGATATATTTTTTGTGCTTTGGCTTCATCCTAAGTCAACTATATCTTTGAAGTTAACAAAAATAAACAGCTCTGTAACAATAAGGGCCTATAATTTAAAAGAGAATTTGAAATCTGTGGTTGAATAAGACAGAACTATAATCTCACAAGAGACAACTTAATTATGTAAAAGAATCTTTGCCTCCACTATTTCTCTCATCAGAGAAACAGAAGGCTGGGAAAACACTGGGACTTTGGTGAAGGAACGCTGGATGCTGTGAGCTAATCTCCACTCACTCGTATTTGAAACAGTGCTAGTGCTTTCCCTAGCTCAATCCCATTACAAGCAAGATTGTTATGAAAAGCACAAATGTATTTTCTAATTTATTGGTCATTATTTACCTAGCTGGAGAAATGATGATATACAGAACATGACAGAAATGAAAATCATTTGAATGGTCAGTATGGGTATATTAAGATTTATAAAGAGAGACTACTGGAATAAATTAGCTACAGGAATAAATTGTTTCAGGATAATAAAAATGAAATTTATGTCAATAAATTTCTTTAATGTATTACTAATTTTACTCTACAACTTAACAAAGTCCTTTATTGGTATTTTCTACATAAATCAGAATTTTTCTTCTTACTCACATATAATAGAATAAAACAAAGCTGGCAGTAGCCAGCTAGAAGCTAATTATTACAGAAAGAATTATATTACTGCCCTATCTATAATTTTGGTTCTTTAAATTTAACTTGGATAGGAACACAAAATTATACTCTGTAAAATCTTATGTTCTTATGATTTTGTTAGCTTGGCAAGTTAACTAGGAATAGTTCTGATTTTGTGGGATTAAAATTGTGTAATATACTAAAATTAGATGAAAAGATTAAACACCAAACATTAACAAATATTTATTGGAAAAAAAATGAGTAATACATATGTGAATTGTTACACATAATCTCCTTGGTAAAAAAATGTTTAAGTACCTTGGGATCACCAAATTAAGGTTTTGAGTCTTAGATTTATCCTCAACTAGCTCTATGACCTCAGCATGTCACTCAATCTGCTTAGCTATAAAATAAAGCATGATATAATTCCAGAATTAAGCCACATGCATTTTTTAAACACCGATTTGCCAGTACCTCTGTGAAGGTTAAGAATATTAAGAATATAAGATATTGTAAAATAATTGAAAATTATAATGTATGTGAAGGCACTCTGTCAGATATAATACATTATGCAAATAACTATTTCGTGCTATTGTGATTATAAACATTTTTCTACAAGTGCCAAGAGGATCTACTTCTCACCTCAAATGCAAGGGGACTTTTATTGTGGCAAATTTTACAAAGGGAAATTTGCTTCAGCAAATAAAATGCATGACAATTATCAGAAAAAACAAAACAAAACAGTAGAACAGGAAATAAGAAACTGCTTTCTAACCAGTTCAGAGTAAGGACAGTAAGGCAAATAATAAAGTAATGACTTCTTTGGAACTCTGAGTTCAGAAAGACGGATGCTTGACAGGACAATAGTCTGAGAATATCAGAAAGTGTTAAAATTGCCTACAGCTTAATATTTCCCATGCCAAAACAGAAAAATCGTCATGGAAAATTTTTCTTTGATTAAAATAAAGAAAAAATTTTTAGAAATAAGAAACCCACTGTAAACAGAGAATAGGGGGAAAAAAACTGTTACTCTGAAATGCAAGACATCCATTGAGAACAGTGTAAATGGAGATGACAATTTTGATAATAAAGACTAGAGAGAGAGACCACAATAAGAACACAAACCTCTGTTTTGACAAAGACTACAGTTAGTGAGGTTTAAGACTCTAGACTTACTGACCCTGTGTCTTTCCAGAAACTTTACCACTGTTGGTTAAAATTGTTGAAAACTAACATTCCATAACATCACTCTGCAGTCTCAGTAGCACACTAGATTGTAATGAAAACTTGAAATGAATAAGTTCCTTTGAGTGACATTCTCTCAGTTTCCAGAGAGTGTGATTTAAGAATACTGCAGGCTATGATATCAAAACATAGCTCTGGATAAAGAAACACCAAGCGCAACAGATCCTGTATATAATATATTCTATTTATATTATTTCTCCAAGTAAATAATTAATTACACACAGAAGAATTCTTCAAAGAAGTGGACATATCGAGCCTAGTTATAAGATTTCCAACAGCTGACTTATTTAATAAAAATATAATTATCCATCACTTTACAGAAAAGATAAATTTCAGAAGTCCTGACCAAAGTGGATCCTTTTAAAATTGTCAACATCCTCTTAGTAGTCAGGGATTCATTTCCTAAGGAAAAATAATCCTTCACTTGAAAATAAATATCAAGCCAGTATGATTATAAATACCTATCAATCCATGGGTTAATAGTCCCCTTTATCAATACACATTGTCAGAATTTCTCTCATGCCTAGCGACTGCCTAAAACATCGCATCTGCTGTTCCTGGAACTTAATTCATATATGCTTTGTTTTCTTCCCCAAAAGTTAAGGTTATCTAACAGATCTTTATTACATTATCAAAAGAGTTTTAAATCAAACATGCTATTATTCTAATCTAGACATTCTGTAAATTTAAGGCTACGATTTAGTAAGTTTCCATTGTCTACTTTGTCAGTTCGGTAACATAAACCATAAGTTTAAATTCCCTTGTTCTTCCTGTCACTTAGATTTCCAATTAATCTTTCCTGTCAGCTTGCAATGACCACTGATGAAAGGCTGTCCTGTAACGCTTTTAGTACTGGGTCATTGAGCCGTATGAATTTTCACGCTTACTAATACTTTTGGAGATAGAACCAAAAAATTTACGGAAATTGAAAAGGGAAAAACAAACAAACAAAAACATATCTATAAACAATAACATTCTAAACTGGAAATATTTTTTCTTAGAGTTATTTCATTATAATATCACTAGAATACAATTATTCATTAATTTTATAAAATTCATAGATCATAATGCCAATGACAGCAGAATACAAAACAAAATGAGCCTTTCAAAGAATTACCAATCAATTTTACCCAGTAGATTAAAAACATTATTTTATGAAGCAAAAGAAACCAAGAAGTGAGAAAATTATTTGAGATTCATGACTATAAAGTATTCCTTTCCTGACACTTGAAGGAAAGAACAGATAAGAGGTCAAGGTCAAGGGGGAAGGAAATCACCAAAACATTACTTACTTCCTTGTATCCAAAGATAATGCGTCCGTCCATGAGCAGGGTTGCCTGGAACGTGAAGCTTCCCAGGTTGTAATTATCCTGAAGATGTACGTGGTCCCACTGAACAACAAGTGCTGTGCCTATAAACCCCATCAGAATGGAAGAAATGCAATGAGAAAAACATATCAATCAATTCCGATGGGAGCCTTCACAAAAACATGCAACTAGCCTTCAAATCTAGCAGTTGTACTGCTTGAATTTTTATATGGTTAACTGGAATTCTGTTATTGAAACAGCATTTAGAATATTGTTAAAGAATTGAGTATTCTCTAAATATTTGGTAAGATCTAACCTCACACTGAGGTTAACACTGAGCCCAGTATGTGGGGGGAATTTTGCCTTAGGAAGCCCATTAATGTTAATGGGTACTGTCTGCTTAAATTTCTATGAGCTGCTTTCAAAATGCAGCCCAAGTGAATTGAATGAATTTCAAATACATTGATAAATACTGAGAAAGAAAGAACATATTCAGAAAGCTAGAGTCACTTAAACAAGTGACTCTATCTCTTCCATACTTAGAATTATACTCTTCCACACTGAAGAAGTTCTTTTAACATTATTGGAAATATTCTTCTTTGATTTACAATGTCTGCATTTCTGTCTTTGTTGTATAGCTTCGAGGAGACGGCAAGGTACCTCAAAGAGCCCCAGGCTACAATTTCTAAAGCCTCCTTGAAGTCCATAAGTATAAATTTTCAGTGCTATATATTCATATTCTGATGAGTCAATCTGCCAGTGTTTACTATAAAACTATTAATGTGAAATATAAACTGAAACGCAGTTTAATACCACCAACGAGAATCCAGACATTTGTTTTAATTGACATTGTTTAATTAATGTGAAATATAAACTGAAACGCAGTTTAATAGCCACCAATGAGAATTCAGACATTTGTTTTAACTGACATTGTTTATTCTCTCTCTCTCTCTTTTTTTTTTTTAAGAAAACAAATGAGCAGCTAAGACTTTTGCTTGGCTCTAAGTGTTAGATTTTCTGTTTGGTGAAAAAATCACATTGCCAAAAAATGTTGCATAGAAAATGAGACTCACAGACTAAAAGAGCATGACTTATTTCCCAGGTTGGTAAATGTCTTATTAAAAAAGAAAAAAAAAATCAAGAATGTATGACAGGAAGAAAAAGAATGCACGACATGGAGCTTCTGGGTTAGTGAAGATGCGGAGGTGCTGGAAGCTCCACACCCCTTGCCATACTCATTTCTCCCACCTGACTGTTCCTGAGTTAATCCCTGTACAAAATGATTGGTGCGGAACAGAATACTGTATTTACTCTGCTTTTGACTATAACTTAAAGCTTTTGGTGGCAACCTAAAAGGCTCCTGAATTTCTCTCCTCACGTGGACACACTGAATGTATAGCTACACACGAAACAATTTCCTCTGAGAAAAATCCAGAACCTAGCTGAGTGACTGCTATGCAATGGGCAACTGAGAAAATACCCACATGGAAATTGCATGCATTTAGGTGCTGACTGTGTCCTCTCTGGAGTCCAAAAGAGCCCGTGGGCTCTTATCCACTGTCCCCTTCTTCCTTTTGGCTCACTCCAACCATAGCACCAGGTCACCAGCATCTCTGTGGAAGCACCTTACACACATGTCTGGCACCCAGTTTTCATGGTACCAGCTGAGGGACAGGCCCCCAGATGGTCTTTGTGATAGACAGTGGAATTTGTTTTCATGAGTCCCACAAGACTGCAGCAGACAAAGAATCAATCGCTATTGGGCATAACCTTGAGCTTATGGATATTCCCTAGGGATCATCAGAGATGGAGCAGGTGAAAATGCCCATCTCTCATTCTTCCCCTGGAAGAGGTGTGACTGCATATTTTACAAGCTGCTGCCTGACGGTCAGGCACCTAATTAGCAGTCATCTGGGTACTGACTGTCATCCTCCCCAGAGCTTGAAGGCGCCGGTGGGCACTTCCCCCACCCTCTCTCCCTCTTGCTCCAACAAAACCAAGTTGCCAGTATCTATCTAGAAGGAGCTTGTCTCCACTTGTAGTATCCCAACTTTTACGGCTGCCCTTGAAGTTTAGGCAGGTAAACTACCTTGCTCTGATAATCAACAGGGCTTGCATTTGTAAGTCACAGATTATAGCAAGCAAAGAAGTAGTTTTAACATCGGTGCAGGAGCACCTCCCCATGGCTATCCTCCAAGATTCAGTGCAGAGAGAGCAGGCAAAAATGCCCCTTTCCCAGTTTCTCCCTAGACGGGGTGTGACAGCATACTTTCCCAGCTGTGGCCTGAGGGTCTGGCCACGAATCAGCCTGCAAACAGGTGCTGACTGAAATCCTCCCCTTAGGACACGGATGGGTCTTGGGACACTCTCAACTACTGGGAGCCATCAAAAACAAAGGTGGTGGCTTAGTCAATCACAGAGGTTTGAGAGACAACCAGGAACTTTAGCTGAGGTACTGATGAGATTTGGGTCCTATATAAGACCACAATGACCAGAGTTGAAGATGTAGCTCTTTTACCTAATGTACAGAAATCAATACAGAGTCAAGAAAAATGAAGAAACAAGGGAATATGTTCGAAACAAAAGAATAAGACAAAGCTCCAGAAACCGATCTTAATGAAACAGGGGTAAGTGATTTATCCAAATGAGTTTAAAATAAGTTATAAAGATGCTTACTGACATCAGAAGAGCAATGCATGAGCAAAGTGAGAATTTTAGCAAAGAAAGAAAATATGAAAAACTACTAAATATAAATCAGAGAGCTGACGTATACAGCAACTGACCTGAAAATTTTAATAGAGGGGTTCGACAGCAGGCTAGATGAAGTAGAAGATAGAATCACTGCTCTTGAAGACAGGGCAGTGGAATGCATCAAATCAGAGGGGCAAAAAGAACGAAAAGGAGTAAAAATAGCCTAAGAGACATATAGGACACCATCAAGTGGACCAATATTCACATTATAAGAATCTCAGAAAGAGAAGAAGGAAAGAGGCAGGAAGTTTATTTAAAGAAATAATGACTGAAAATTTCTCTAACCCAGAGGAAAAAAATATCAGACATCCAGATCCAGGAAGTCCAAAAATACCAAACAAGATGAATCAAAAGAGACTCACATGGAAATGTATTATAAGTAATTTATCAGAAGTTAAAGACAAAGAAATAATCCTAAAAGCAGCAAGAGAAGCCAATCTGTTACTTATAAGGGAATCCACGTAAGACTGTCAATAGATTTTCAGCAGATATTTTGAAGGTTAGAGGGAGTGGGATGAGATATTTAAAGTGCCAACCAAGAGTACTTGACCAGGCAAAGTCATCCTTCAGAATTGAAGGAGAGATAGTTTTCCAGACAAACAAAAGCTGAAGGAGTCCTTCACCACTAAAGCAGCCTTATAGGAAATGTTAAAAAGGAGTTCTTCAAACTGAAATAGAAGCATGTTAATTAGTAACAGGCATTTTAAGAAACTATAAAACTCAATGATAAAGGTAAATATAGAGTTAATTTCAGAATACTATAATATCATAATGGTGGTGGGGAAATCACTTATGACTTCAGTATAAAGGTTAAGAGACAAAAGCATAAAAACTGTAACTACAATAATTTAATGAATACACTACAAAAAAAAGTTGTAACTATCACATAAAATGTAGTGGAGGGTATAAAAATGTAGAGTTTTTATATGTATCGAGCTTTTGATCATTACTAAGAATTATACTTTAAAATTTGCTATTCAAATTATTTTTCTAGTAAAGGATTTATTTTTATAACTTTTCTAGCTTTTGTGCATTAATAATCTGTGACTCAGACTTCAGTAGTCCTATAAGCTACCTATAACATTTGGAAGCATCATGACATTTTTAAAGTCTATTGATTTAATACTTACAGAAATACTATCTTAGAAATTTTCTCTACTGCTACTGTCTCCTCTAAAGAAGTTTTGCTTTGTTAAAATGTTGAATTTCCCATCCTTAATCATTCTTTCAATGATCCTAACCAATCAAAGTTGGACATATTTCAGTAAGTTACTCTTGTACAAAAGGACTTTGTGAAGAGCCTTATAATATTAAAAAGTACTTCATTCATTTACTAAAACACAGCAATTGCCATTGGTCATTACACAGAAGATATTTCAATGAAGTAAAATACATCAATTCTTAAGTGTTACAACTTCTACAATTCTCAGTTAAAATCTTATCTTACATATTTAATTTTTTCATTTACTCATTCATTGAATAATTATGGGAGACTTACTGTGTATGAGTTCCTGTGCCAGGCACTTAAGATAAAATGATTTCTTAGAGTCATAGTCTTCATTTCACAGAATTTAGTGTCCAGTTGGAGTGGCATGCATTAATTTTTACAAATCATTCAAATAAAGATAAAATTCAAATATTAAGAGCTACCACATAGTATATGAGACAGTATATGGAGAGAGAGAATTATTTAATGTTTTATGATTTTGATGCTAATAATATAAAAATGTGGTCGTCAGAATCCTGTGCCTATGAGTAAATATCCCCAACATCACCTAGTAAGTGATAGAGCTTGGAAAATAATCAACTTTCATCAAATCACTTCCTGTTTACTAAGTTGATTCTGTCTGGTAGGTCACGCAATAAGTTTTAGATAAGTTTCTGGTTGTGGTTCTACCTCACATATACTATAACTGCTTGTACACCCTTGAGCTTTAGTACCCAATAAATTTTTTTTAAAGAGTGAAGATGAAGTATAACAGCTTTTAAAGTAATAGGGGGAAGTTATTATAATGGCTAACACTCAGTTACTTAATTTTGGAACACACTTTGGTGTTATTTAAACTGCCTGAAATGTATTTCTTAGAGTGTATGTCTAGTTTCCTTTTTTCTTTGCAATTTTGACCTGTAAAATGGCTTCAGCACACTGGTCAGAAGATTACTTTTAGCAAAATGATCACATTTCCCTAAAACTCCTGCACCATTAGGTCTATATCACCCACTAGTAAAATTCTTCTTTGATCAGTAAGATAAGAGAAGAAATAGCTTTATTCACCTCAAATGCTTCCATTATTTTATAAGAAAAAACTGTCACTTGGACAAACAAATACTATTTTTGTACTATAGAGCACAGAAATTTTTATCTTAAAAAATAATTAATTAAATTTATTTTTAATTATAGTTGACATACAATATTACGTTAGTTTGAGGTGTACAACATAGTGATTCAACATTTAGATAGCTTATGAAGTGATCACCACAATAAGCTTAGTAACCACTTGTTACTGTACATAGTTATAATGATATTACTGGCTCTATTCCCTATGCTGTACTGTAAATCCCCATGACTTATTTTATAACTGGAAGTTTGTACTTTTATCTTTAGTTAAGTTTCTAAAACAAACTCTCCTTTTCCTATTTTCTCTACTAAAGTTAGAGCCTTCAGTAAGATGGAGACATGAAAATTCATTTATGTCTCCAAGACCTTAAATTTTTATTTAGATTTAAATAATATTTAGTGACAAAATCTAGGTTTTTCTTTATTTTATATGTCCCCAAAAAGAAATAGTAGGGATAGATTATTGTCAGTATACTTGATAAACCTTAATAGGTTCTATTTCATATTTTAAAGTCAGAAAAACCTGAATTTCTTAAATGTATTTTAACCATCCACTACCTTATAAGTTTTAAAGGTATGTTCGTCTTATTGTATATATAGTTCATAAGATTTGAAATTTTAATATCTGTGTATTATGCCTCTTCCCTATACTTGAAGATCAGAACTAACAAATTATCCTTATTTAGTTTTTCTAATAGGAAGGACTTTTTGCAAATAGCATCAAATGCATATACTCTGTTCCAGGTGTCATTTATAGCAACTCATTTATTATAGTGCCCGATAGGTGTTAATAAACATTTGTTGAACAAATAAACAAATGAATGAATAAATGAGTAGCATCTAACCATATACTTTACTCTACATACTAGCAGTTACAGTATAAATTTGTCATCTTAGAGCATTTTCATCAGTTTATAAATCCAGTCCACCAAAAAACAAAAAAACAAAAAAACAAAAAAAAAACCCCACCAAAACCCCCAAAAAACTCAGGTTACAAAAATATTAGCATAAATCTCATGATTGATGTTTAAAGGTATACCATTCAGTAAGAAATAGGCTAACAGATACATACCATTATCAAAATATCTGACTGTTGAATTTCTGGATACACTGGGATCAAAATTTGCCATTAAAGGTGCTATGTATTGTGTGGCTGTTAGCATTCGATGTACAACTTCTCCAGTATATATGAAACCTATAATTAGAAAAGTGGAAATATGTTAAGAAAAAGCCCAGATAAAATTTTAATTAAAATACCTCCAACTCAATTGCAGTCATATTTTGCAAATAAAATATCATAGTAGCTAAAAAAAAGGGAACAAAATTAATGTCTTGATATATTAGCACCTTGCAGACCAGAAAATCAGAAATCTATACTATGGACAACTTTAATTGTGGGAAAAGTGACTATTAATCTGGAAGAGATTATTAGGATGAAAAGTGAATAATATAGCACTATCAGTAATTCAAACATTCGATCTGCCATTATCAATCCTTTGTTATTTTAACACTAGCAGAACATACAGGTCCTTTTAACAAATAAATATATTTTCATAATGTTTAACTGCATTTTCTAAAACTACAATCTCAGTTTAGGACAATTTAGAAACTACACATGCATATGTCTATATTTTTATATCTTTCTCCATCACTGAAATGGAGAAAATGTTTTAGACCTTATTTTCAAAGTTGAAAGGAGGATAAACAGCCATGAAAAAACCAGCACATTTCTCAGATGGCTCAAGTCTTTATAGAAAAGGAGCACTCTATCAAGAGGATGAAGATCGGATGTTTGCATATCAGATGGTAAAACATTGATAATGCACAAATGCCTCTCTTCCTAGAGTTATCAGTGCCAGCCTATTCTAGCAGTTGGATGATGAGAGGGAATTTACTATGGAGAACTTGCTCTTGATTTAACTTTCAATAGCTCTTATGTTACAACCCTACCCACTTTCAATTATTTACACTGGGTTTATTTACTTGGTGGATTATCCATGACAAATTGTTAAATCCTATACTGGCTTCTTGCCTCCGATGTCTTTAGGTCTGACAGTCAGTTCAGGGAATGCTAACTAATTTTAACGTTAATCTAAGAAACTCACAATTAAGAACATATAAGTAAATGGGCACACGCATGTATATACACACAAATTACAAAATAAAACCCAAAGCAAATTATTTGTGACAATGCAATTGTGATGTTTAGGCATCCATAAGTTAACTAGAGCATTTTTCTATTTTCAAAAGGATTAATTTTAAAAAAGCAAGATTTAAAAAAACAAAATTGTGTAGAATTTAAAGTTGTAAAAGTGTTAAAACTTTTGTTATCTCAGTCTGTGTTCTGAATAAAGCTTTCATTGGCATACTGTGGTCTTCATTGTTTCAAATTCTCAACTGTAATTTCTAGGTAAGTTATTGGAGGATTAAATCTGTAGTTATTTACCTTGCAATTAATTTGTCCTTTTAGCAGTGTCTTCTTTCCTCGACTTCCTTTTCATTTTTCATCAAAGGCAAATTGAATTCTAGCTATTCACCTTCAAAAATATATTTTAACTAGTAAAATTTTTAGGATGTATTTCAATCGTTGATTATGGCTTGTTTCTCATTTGATGAGCAATAACTTTCAAAATAAATTTCCTATGCCTAGAGCAGAATTTTGTACATTTGTAACTTCACAAAGCTCAGTGTACTAAAAGATATTATATAGGGTGATGCAGTCATTGCTTTTATTTCCTGTAGATTTTCAGAGACACTCTTAATGTTCAAAGCTCTATATCATCTTTAAAATTATGAAAATTAAGAGTAACTATTTTTCAGGGTCTATGATTTATTTTTTCCTCATATCTTCACCAACATGCCTTTATAATTTCACCACTAAAATGGATACAAAAGTTCTATAAGTATGATCTTTTAAGAAAAGCATTAAATTATACTCTGAAAATGTTTTTCAAGGGCACTAGCTTTCAATGGTTATTTCTCTATATATTCTCCATGTACTAATAGAAGACAATTTGCTTGATTTAAAAAATAAAGAGGACAGTCATTCAAGGCTGTAAGATAATTTTAAATCAATACAAAATCCATTCTCCAAAAAACTCTAAGAAAAGCAGCAACAATTCCAAGAAAGAGTTGCAAAATGCATGACCATAGATAATTTCAGATAATGCTTACTGTTAGTATTTTAAAAGTATATCTGTATTTGTTGCTGAATGTTCCTACATAGATTTGGAAAAGAGATTCTCCACTCTCTACCACCGAGTTTGCAGATCATGGGACTCATTAACTACTGCTTCTTTTCACCAGGAAAAAATTTTCCAGTTACAATTTCCCAATTACCAAAAGTGAAGTCTCAAATTGTTCCCAGAGAACTGAGTGAACACATGAAAGAATTTTTTAAGAGGTAAAAGCTATAATTACAATTATGATTCTTCTATTATTGTAACATTCAAATAAATTATAATTAGTGTCACCATGAGTGCTACCATTGGTACAACTACTAAGAACACGAAACAGCTCTTGTAATCACCAGCGCATCTCCCAATCCTATTAATCTATCATCACTATTATTTCTACCACTGCCCAAGAATAATGAAAAACAATCTGAGGATGCAAATACACGACTACTCCACAAAACGGATTTAATTTTGCTAATTTGGAGAATACTTGTTTGTATTCCTTAGCCATATTGAAATCCAATTCTTTAATATCTTAGGTTAGTTCTTAGTGACCAATAAGTAAAATGCTTTTGATTGCAGTGATGGCCTCTCCTGAATCCTCCTCACAATCCCAGGTTTAAAAAATATCCTTTCAGCAGCAGTGGTTACTATCCAAGTGGAGAGAAACTTTACAGGCCACTGAGAGCAGGGAAGCATTAAAAGTATTGAATAAGAACCAGTTATGCAGGTTAATGAGACCTTTAATGCAATAAATCTTCCCTAAATCTTCGAAGGCACGCATAGCGACCGATATCCCATTTAGACATTTAGCTCTCTGACTCGGGTGTGTCATCGTACAGGAAAAAAAAATTTTCTTTTTTTTGGGTCTTTCATATTTTGAGGTAATTTAGTTGTACTCTTTTGAAGGGCTAATCATAAAATGTCACCTTTGGTCACTACATGCTTTTAGTTTAAATAGCATTCATTTATCTAGTCATAAGGTTTGTAGAAGAGTAGTTATTATCCAGATAACTTGGTACCCAGAAAGACACCTCCATTTGAAAGATCCAAATAAGAGAAGCAAATGCGGTTTGCTTTTGGAATTTCAAATGACAGCTAACACACTGCATTTCTCTTTTGCCTTTACTAGTAAACCTAGGGTCAAGTTCTGAGCTCAGCTCTCATTGACGACTTTGCTCTTGAACTTGGAAGGCTCTCCTTGGGCTGCTTTCTGTAGATGGGTCTCTAGTCGCTGGAATAATCTATTTTTAAATATGTAAAACTCATCAAGTCCTTTGAGGATGCGATCGCTACGAGTTCTGACATGACTAGCCCCTCCTCAGTCATTATATAGTTATTAACCATGATTACGTATTTATTAACCATAAGTACTATTATGATAATAGTGAAATTAACCAATACCTATGCAGGTCTTTACCAATGACATTATTCTCATGTATGATCTTCACCGTACCCTTTCAATACTTTGAAAGAATGGTATTATTATTTCCATTTATTAAATGAAGCATGTAATAAGGCTGGGTAATTTGTTCAGAGCCACATGGCTAGAATTGGTTTTCTGATTCCAAACTTTAGGACCTCCCCATGATATATTTTAGAATTCACTGTGAATTCTAAAATGCTCTCCTTCACTGGATTTCATACTTAAACAAGTAGTTCGAGGAACAAAAGACCTATTCTTTGTGTGAAAATTCTAACATCTACACCTATGACCAAAGTTGTAGTCACTTTGAATCTCGCTACTTTTATTGTATTATTTCAGCCTCTTTATTTTAATTAGAAAATTATATAAATAGGTTTAAATTAGATTCCTTTATTGCAATCCACCAAATGACTCTTTTATTGGTAGGTGAATGACACATGATACACACGATTAGAGATTGTATTTAACGGTAGAATCGAATTACTTCTTAGCTGTGTGACTAAGTTACTTGATCTCCCTGTGCCTCAGTTCCCTAATCTGTCAAATGGAGCAGAAATGGTATCGATATCATTGGGGTGTTGTGATGATTGAATGAGTTAATACGTGAAAAGCACTTGAAAACACTGTTTAAAATTAAAACGTGCAGAAAACAACCAATCCATTAAACTCTCTCACTTTTAGCCCCTGAAGTCTTTTCTGTCTAATGCATACTAGTTGATTAGATTTGCATTACGATGTCAATATGACTTCAAAATCGTGTTTCAGACCCGAAAGGTATACTATGTGTTTCTCTGCATTATTCCAGTTTGGGTTAAGGCATACCATTGACTCTAACTATAAGACAACAGATAATATAAAGCCTTAATGTCCAAGCTCTACATTTGATATACCTTTCCTTACAGTCCGATGAAATAAACGCCTTGTAAAAATATTAACTTCCTATTGGTTACAAATGGTTGTTTTATTTAACTGAAAGTGTCATTGTAATAAAAGAAGCATGAAGAGGCTATAATTGCCTGTGAAACATTCTGTGAAAAGTTAATGTGTAAAGCGCTATAAAATATTCTATTTTATCATCTTTTGGTGGATATTTTTGAGCGCAGAGGAAAGGTCGGAGCTGGCGGTTATGCCTGCAGGGCACTGAACATTTGCAGTTAAATGCTGCTTTCAGAGGACAAATGACAATGGTGTAAGTGCTACTGTTGCCACCATCATGACATGTGAACTACGATTCCTACACATTAGTCAAATAGGTCTGAAATGGATGGCCTTTTATCCATAAAAATTTAGAGAACGGATTTCTCGTGTGGATACCTCATTAACCTTACATATGATCTGTTCCATTTCTATTCATGAAGAATTGAGTTATTTCACTGAGTGCTGTTTTTCGTTACTGTTTTTATCAATGGCTCGGTATTCGTACTGGACAACTTGCTTGAAACAAACCAATGAAGTTTGAGCATAATTCATCTTACATTTTACACAAATACCATTTTATGAATCATAATACATTCTCACATGCTATAGGCTACCCACTTCCAGACAAATACTTGTTTGTAATTTAGTCGGCCTTTTAAACAAAGCCATATGTGG